AAGAAGCCACAAATAGAAATACACCTCAAAAAGTACATGCATACTCACTCATTCATGCATCTCTTAATAATACATAAGCGTTACACACCTATTTTGTGTGTGAAAATTCTAATGATAGATAATACAAGCATTATATTAGATGAAACTGGTTCACATACTCACGAAAAAATACTTGTTTTGAAGGTGGTTACATGTGTAATAAACCATTGATTTTCACGATATGAAGATGATACACCCCTTATTGCCTGAAGAACTGAATACACTCAACCCAGCCTCTTGCAAGACAAGTACAGCATCCTCATATGTATAACATGATGATATATTAAATAATGCTCGCCAACCACGTATGTGGTCTGGGTTCGACTCCTGGTCGACGCATCCCAAACCTCAACCGGCCTAGTGTAAAGGTGGAAGGTTAGACATGCGGTCAGCAACCACACCATCGTTACTGGAACTTAGACCGCCTAACTGACTGGTTTCAACATAGAACTTTGCACCGATGTGCAGCAGCTCGAGTCGCCACACTCCCTCCATGTAACACACAAAGCAAGAGAAGAAAGTAAAAAGAAATGCGAAATGGAGACAGTAAACAGAGATATGAAGCAAAAACAATAGTAATATCGAAGAACAATATAGTTTTAACGGGTATTATAAGTCACAAGGAGTGGATGCATCTGCGCCTGCCATTGAGAACGATTTTGAGCCATATCACCGATTGTCTGCAGCCATTGGTGTTTACCGTCCCGAGGACCCCATCCAGTCAGGAAGTCTACATCTTCCTACATGGCTTAAACTAACTGTTGTGGATTTCATTGACTTATGCCAGGTTTTGGTTTGACCACTGGAACTTAGAACCTTAGGAATGAATGTACATGAGAATAAACCCAAAGCGCCATTCCCATCACAACGGAAAGAGATTAAAAACAACACCAATGAAATGAAAACTTTATAAATTTATGCTGAATAAAGCTATCAGTAATAATAGTACTCTTATTATTATAAATACTGTTAGAGCACAGATACTAAGTAAACAAGTTTTTGGGAATTTATATGTCAATAGTGTGTCAGTGGTTCAGTAGTTAAGATACTCGCCAACCACTCAAGGTGGTCCAGGGTTCAATCATTGGCCGACACACTCGTAAACGTCGGTTAACCCAGTAAAGAGGGAAGGTCGGACGTGAGGCTAACATCTTCACCCCCTTAAAAATAAACATCACTGTTATTCAGACTTCAAAACAGAAAAAAACGTGGAGCTTTATGTTCCATTCGAAAGGCAATGGAATAAAATAAAAATAGAATCGTTTAACGATTGATATTTTACAGCCAAGTTAGATGAAATTAATAATAATAATAGCAATAATAATAATAATAGGAATCCGATTTATGTTAGAAAAAAAATTTTTTTGGACGAAATCCAAATAATCTCATTTAAGGACATTTTGACTTGTATGTATACGTCTGTGCATGCATGCATGCATGCATGTCTGGAGAGATGAGATAATTGACTAACATAAGAAGGAATGATAGTGTAAAAATAACCAACCAATCAATAATAGTAGTATGAATAAATGCCAACTCTTCAAAATGACACAAATAAAAGAAATGCAAAAGAAAGATAATACAATAGGCAAAACCAACAAGAACAACAACAGCAACAGAAACAAAATTCGAAGGATATATACACTTTGAGTAGACAAAACAGTGTGATATAGACACCAGTGAATACAGATGTACGCACACATATCAGACAAGTAGATTATGACACAGACACGTCGTTATATATCATGAACGGCATAAAGAACCAGTTTTAGGCCAAAGCATAAAAAAAGTATCCTTATTTAATAAAATAACCGTTTAAGTATTCTTAGAACAAAAACATTATAGATTGAAATGTAACGAAAAGGAGATGAACAGTTAGTTATCTTTTAGTTTAACTGTCTGTCTAAAAGTTTGATCCTATTCAAGGTTAGGAGAACAAATGATAGCGTAACTTAGTAACTCTATATATTCACTAATCATTATTGCACTACGAATCACTGATGATAATACCTAACTGTTTAAACTCAGCTTATCAGCTTACGCTGATAAGCTTCATTAATCAATTGTACATAGAGGAAGCTGAAATCAAACAAAAAGTATTTTTAATTCAAGTATTGGTTTTTGTAGGGATTTTGTTTGATTGGTTGGAGGATTTCATCATGAGCTGACATCAGTTAGAGAACCATTAGAAAACCTGCAAGGAGTACTGGACAGCTGTTTCGTCCCACTAATTTGGGACTCATCGGCAGTACGCAACCACCGGAGTTCGAGCCGAGGACCTTCCGGTTACAAGGTGAGCTCATAGACCCACTAAGCCAATGGGACACGATCCAATGACCAGCCCACGAATTCTAACTTCTGCCAATTCATGATATAGATAGATTATAAGACTATTTCATTTTTACTTTGAAGTTATTCATTCTATCGATACGTTGTAATGAATGAATAATTAAACAAATGCATGCATATAATCTGCATTTACTTTAAGTTATAGTTATGCAATGAATATAAATGAACTGCTTATTATTATTATTATTATTATTGTTATTATTATTATTCACCGTTTATTTTTATGAGTCAGACATATATACACTAAGACTGACGAAAAGACCTTTCTCATACATAAGACAAAACAAAACAAAAAAAATAATCCACGTTAAGATAAAAATTATAACATATTTACTAGGGTATAGTATAGCAGACAATACATTCTTTTTTCTTGTTTTTGTTTTCTATGAAGGGAGAAGGAATCAGTAAAAAAACACAATTGGTGTAAAAGTAAAACGTGACGCATCAAGAATAAATTTTGAATTTATGCTAAAATGTGTGTGTTATAGAGAGGTGGTGATACAGTCTTCTATGCGCAGACGCACACACAAACACAGTGAATATGTGTGCTGATGTTTTCCTTTTTAGCAAACTGCATTGATAGACAATCCACGCGCGTAATGATGACTAAGGGGTTATAGTAGTAAAGGTGGTAGAGAGAGAGAGGAGTAGAATAGAGAATAGACATTCTCTAATACACCTCAGTGACTAAACTAGAGTTAATCAATTCACCTTTTGTACTTTAATTAGATTACAATGACTTGAATATTAGACAAGAAGAATTCCTACCTATCTCTCTGCACTATCAGCTAACCGCTAAAACAAACTGTTAGTCAGTTAGGTGGTTAAGACTTTGACCTATATTAAAACAATTGGTGCATCTCTATAGTCTACAGAATGACAAGCACATGTGAGATTGGACAGATTCGATACAAATGGTGGTGTATATGAGTAAAGTAAGTTAGTATCGTAAGAGAATTGAAAAAATAACAAACAATCATAGTTATAATATGGGCGAAGGAAGCAAACCGATTACAGTTATTTAAAAAAAATAGTTTCTACATGTCTAAACAATAACAAACAGTGAAATCGACGTACTGTGTGTGTGATAGACTTAAATGAAACATCCATATGTGAAATGATTAAATCGACAGTATGATTTATAAATAATTGTTGTAGTAGTCAATGGAAAAAAGAAGAGAGGCATTGTTGGTTAAGAAGAATGAAGGATTAATCGGGGGCGGGGTGGCGGTGAATAATGTTATTACCACTCTGTACCACTTTTGCCTGTATATTATTGGAATTATACACACAAATGTATACTGTCTAGTTATTATTATTATTATTTTATAAATCAGGTGTCTTAAATTGCTATAATTTTTCTCTCTCTCTTTCTCTCTTCCAGATAAGATATAATAGAATTCTGTATAAAAGTAACTTGTTCAATTCAAATAAAAAAAGGTAATAGTCATATATGTTTATATATGGTGACTAACTTTTCTTTTAGCAATACTGAACAGGAAGAAATCTGAAGTAACGGAAAGGGAGTCAATGTGGAACTATTACTTGAATAGTGACCAGCTTTCAGATGGATTTTCGGAAAAGTTAAACCGTAACAGCCAAAGTCAAGGGGTCCGCCAAAAGTTGACCTTCAAGGACCAATCAGATTTAGGGAAGGGATTCGGTGAGGTTAGGTACAGAGTATTCCGCTTATTCCCTAGATGCCTTTTTCTGTAAATTTATACTGTGATGTAGGGTTGAGGATTAGGATTAAGGTTAGGTTAAAGAAGAGGGTCAGGAATATCACAAGGATCCCAAAATACCATGATTTACATTCACCTGGGCGCATGGTATGATTTCCCTATGGATTATCCTTGGAATAACTGGGAGACATTCTTACAACACAAAATAGACGATTATCTAGTGTAGCAAGTAGTGTAGTGCAATTTTTTCTTAAATACATCTTTAACGATTATGCGACATTTCTGCACCTGAATTCTGATTGTTTCTCAAAGGCCACTGTGATTTTGGCTATGATATTTTAAATTCGCTGGATTTTCCGAAGCCCTAATCAAATGTCATTACTGGTGGAGTGTCCATCAATTTAGGTGGTGAGAGACACTCACTAGTAACGTTTATACTGCAAAGCAGTAGAAGTTAGAAACTATAGACCGTTGGATTTCAAACACGCAGTGGAAAAGTAATTCGCTAGCATTTAAACCTGACGCTCTTAAATTCGATTCCCAGTAATATTATGAGTGGCGAAATAGCTATTTAGTCCCCTTTTGTTTTCAATGCTGATTTATGACGAAGACCACTTTGAATTAAGTCAAATATTCCCAGAAACAAACATTACAATACTGATTCACTTGTCACTACTAGCGAATAACTTTGAGATGAAAATCCTAGAGTATGACTGAAATGTGACTGGCTTGGTTCACCAGATCGTGGTGTGAGAACAGTCACTAAATGTTGACATAAGTTGATAACATAAGGTAAGTTGGTGGAACTCTGGGATCACTTGAATTTTAAATAAGTGGCTGAATAGTAAATGTTTAGTCTCAAACAGTGATTCGACATAAGTAACAAAACAGACTAAAAATTGAAATACAAAGAAAAAAACAGTAACTTACCGCCAAATTTTAATAAGAGAATCACAGCCACCAGAGGCAAGCCTTTTAACCGGTGGATTAATACCATGTGTTGCTGATGGGTTGAAGATGTGTTCCGCGTTTATAGCAGGGGCCCATGAAATACTATTAACACCGACCTAAAACGCGATAGGAATATTTATTCACAGAAATTGATTAGACGAATTACAGAGTTTAAAGTGAGTATCAAGATTGAGCTTTTTTTATAAATCGATACACAAAACTTGCAGTTCAGATAGATCTTTTGAATATAAGTATATGTCATGCACTATCCTCTAATACCATCGAAACGTTGGTCTGGCTGTCAAAATTCGGGTTTACAAAGCTTCAGTGAGTCAGGTTTAGCTCTATGACAAATAAATCTCCTCTCTTCTCGTTTTGAAAGCTATACGAATCAATAAATACTCCTTAGAATCTTCCGAATAAGTATGCTTACTTGTCTTAATATCACTATTTCTCAATTATTTCACTTCTGTTTACCTTATATTGTTGTTTTGTTATTTTTCTTGACGCATCTCTCGGTGTACTAAGTTTGTTTTAAATAAGTGAAATAATAAACTAAAGATAAATCTACAAAAAAACTAGATCATGTTTTAAGAAGACGAGATCCAGTTGGAGTTCGTATCACTTAGCTTAGCCGACAGTGGCAAATCGATAACCTGCAGTTAAAAATACTGTAGTATCCCAGGATTTTCCTTAACTCAAATTTTATTAACTGGTCCTCATGTTACGAGATGATTTATAAGGTTGTTTTAGAGAAGATCATCAAGAATATTGATTTTGTATTAGGTTGTCCAGTTCTAAAATGACATTTTATCTGCCCACAAATGGCTTAGTTGGATTAAAAATTATAACATGCAAGTATGAATACGAGGATGATACTAAAACCCCTACTCCTTTATAACATCTATGCAGGTTCACTATTTTTTAACAATAACAGATACAAGTATAACGAACAAGTTAGAAATTTTTAGCGATTTTCATCTTTTCATAATTATTCATCTATTTTATTTACCAGTCATGTGATTCCCAGTCAGAAAATTCATAAAATTTGTAATTATGTTTTACACTACTGTAATATTTGGAAGTAGCATGATGATTTAGTGAAAGATAGTTTTGGCGACCATTGGTATTTATGTTCAATAAACGTCAACAGTATTGGGATGATCATAATTATCTATAAAAAGTGTAGTTTATGTTTACATTTCTCTGAGGAAACAGTTTCTCAACTAACTAACTAACTAACCTTGTTTTCTGTCAATTTTTTCTTTACTGAAAACTACTATATGAGTCGAGCTTATTCGGGTATATCGCTGACCAACTCGGTATTTACAATAAGCTGATTAACTAGCAAAATTCGAAGGTCAGTGTCTGTCGTTCTTAATTACTATACTTTTGCAATTAATAGCGTTCTCTGAGCTGGTTGGTTTAGTTGCGAAGCTTTGCTCCTTCTGGACAACAACAGCTCAGAGAACACTATTAATTGCAAATCATCCACCTGAGCTACAAATCTTCTCTATTATGTCAATTACTTATACTATCAGGTATTAAATTCGTTGATTCGAAAAATCTTAGGTGTAAAGAAAAATCACTTACAGAGTGTGCATCTGTGATACGGAATGCACGCCAAGTATTCGTTTCATCTGATACAAGAATGGAGATAGTTCCATCTGAACTAGCACAGGCTAACATTAGGCCATAGGAATGTGGCGCCCAGCACACACAGTTGACTATTTAAAAAATGAAAAAAACACATCTTAGAAAAACTACATACAATAATTAACAACGTATAGTGCAGATCTGCTGACAAAGAGATTGTGAAATGGAATCATCCAGAAAGGATGACTATTGAAGTGACGAACACAAATATCACTTAGCAAAGGGGTAGTCGAACCAAAGCCTAGCATCACTCAATGAAGTGAGGGTGTAGACTGCCTAGTTGGGCTCCTCGGGATGCCAAGAACCAATGACTAGAAGCAGTGGGTGATATGGCTCCAGATTGTTCTCAACGGCGCAGATGTATTCACTCTTTGTAATCACCCATTTCCACCAGATCGTCATGTTTTTCCATGTTACTCTTCTTTCTCCCGCACACTTTTGCACATTATATTTCCTTTGAGTGTATTTTCTCCCTCTTTTGTCTCCCTTTGTGTGTGGCAACTTGAATTGCTGCACTTCTGTACTAAGTTCTACGTCGAAACTCAGTCAGTCAATATCTTTGGTCCTAACTTTTTTTAAGGATAATGACCTCTGGAATTACTGGGTTTCTATATTGCTTTCTCTTGGTGGAAGACCACAGTTTCTCCATAGCAAGGTGAAGTGCAAACTTAACAAAAAAACTCAGAGAATAGATGATGTGCTACTGGAGAGAACATGATTTAATGTTTTTCTTTTGAAATACCTTCATGATGGAGTCTTCTACTGATAAATATCAAAGAGACCATCGTTAAGAAGCAAGACATTTACACATTGATGCTAGCATGGAGAGAAAAGTAGAGCCGTAATTTTAGAGGTGACTTGTAAGTGTGAAGACTAAATACAGTAATACTATCGATATGATCATCATGTGCGAATAACCAACAGCCTAGTGATAGGTCTGTAATTGTATCCAGGTTCAACGATTAACCAGTAAGAAAAACTGAAGATGTTGATTATTTGTAATGAAATTAAACGACAAGTGTAAGACTTAAACAACATGTACCAAATTACTGGAATAAAGTCTCTTGAGTAGACTTACTGGTGATCGCAGAATATTTATTACAAGACCCTGTACAGTCTCTTTCTTCCCTAAACACATACAGATAGCAATTCATATAAATACCATAAATGACTTAAACAGTTAGCGTAAGACTTCCCCGATCTTATTTCCATTGCTGCATTCACTTTTAGTAATAGATGGTATAGGGTGGGTGGTGCCAAAAAACATAAGTTGCAGTTGTACCATACGTGATCTCAACATTAAGCAATAAAATAATAAATAATAATAATATGGTATTACATCAACATTATATTAATACTATTGATATTATTTTATCTAACCCGAACTATCATGTTCAGCATATTCATAAACTTTCCCCCAACGTCCATTGACTTCCCGCCAAATAATCACTTTACGATCGTAACCACAAGAAGCCAATAAACTTCCATACATTGGATGAGACCAACTTAAACTCCACACTGGTCCTTGATGTCTAAAAGGAAATCACAAATAGATAACATAGAAGCCATATGTGCAAAGTTTTTAGCAGACTAGAATGTAATATATGCAAAAGAAAAACCAGTAAAGTTAAATATATAAAAGCTAAAAACCGAAATCAACAATGAAGGGCACTCAATAAAACAAAAGCCTTCTTTGCAAATGGGGTACCAGATCTGTTTTGTTTTGAGAAGCTGAAAAGCACAGTTGTGAATAGTTAGTGCCGACTATCATCCTTGTTCCACCGAAGGTGCATTAGTACGAACTAAAAATTTGTATGCATGAAGTGTTTTTATAGAAACAAATGCACAGTAATCAATAATACATAACTATGTGTATTGAGATATGTTCTTATTTGAAAATAAAACTAATACGGCTGTGCGTCGGTGGCGCAGCGGTAGAATGCTCGCCAATCACGCATGTGGTTCGGGTTTCGATCCCCGACCGACGCACTCCTTTACCTAGCTAAGCCACTTATAAGATTGGTAAAGAGGGTAGGTTGGGCATGAGGCTAGCAACCCCATCCCGTAAAAATAAAAAACCACTGCTTTCGAGACTTCAAGCCTCTAGCTTGAAGCGCTATGTTCCACTGGGGACGTAAAGGAACAAAAAACGGCTCAGCAACTATATACGAAATATGATACAATAATAAACTTCCAGTTACCATAATTAAAACAGCAAAAGAAAACACTAAGAATTCCTTATTGAGAATAAAATGGTAAAATTAAACATGCGATGTATGACTTTTTGACCAATCAATTCCGTCAGGCACATACTTAGTTTATTTATTCTTGTAATTTCTTGTAGGATATTTCTAGACGGATTAAATCGACTTGGCTTTGCCACATAGCTTTGCCACTTATCTTTACCTCCAGTTTGATAATCAGGTCGATCGATTCGGTTCAGGAGTACCAACAGATAGCATAATCACCAATATGCATACAAATATGAATAATTATGAACATATAATAAATAAAAGTCAAATCATACAGAGGGTAACTTTGATTTTTCAATATCTCGGTGAATATTGCTTTGAGACATGACACATTAAGTAATACGTTCAGATATGCAGGTACATTCAACAGATAAGTTGTGTAAAGGACAAAATGCTTATTCTGCATTTTAGTTACTACCAAATAAACACTTCTTACTTACTTTACTTTGCTTCGGCTATCTCCTACGGAAGGATGAGCCGGCTTCATGAACTTCTCAAATCATCGCTACCCAGGCGCAGCGATCTGATGAAGAGAGTTTACGAAGTTTCATGGGAATTTGGTACGAGTGATGTCCCCAGAACCACTCGGCCTTTTGTTTGAGAGTGCAGCTCTAGCCTTTACACAACCAAGTGTGACCTACAAGGCAGTAGGAGTGGAGTAGGGAGTCCACTATCCATTGGCAGCCGGTGACCGGAGTTCGGTTCATACGCCTTTCTGAATGGGGTAGAATAACTACGCTGATCATCATATAGGGACCAATTACTGTTCACAGCTTTGCGTCTAACTCAGGACTGACGACGTAATCTAAACGTTTTCGGCATGATCCCTGGCAGTTTTGTAGATGGAGAGGTGGATCACTTGCCTAGACAAACATCTCCCAATCAATTGGTGCCATGGTCTAGTCCCACTCTAATTACCTCATCCTGAGAGGATAGATGGTATCACCAGCCCTCACAGTGTGAGAAGCTCATAGTTAGTACATGATAAATCTGTCCCGGTTGATTGAGTTCTAATACTTAAAGTGCGTGTGCACTGCTGAAGTCTTTGAAACTAGGACGAAGCCGCCCATTGAGTTTAAATGAATCTCTAACTGATTTCGGCTGGTGAAGAAATCTGCCTTGAAATCAATCGAACTGAACACACTCACTCCATTATCAGAAAATTTTAACTCAATAATTTCACTGAGGTATAAAAATGCAAATACTTTGAACATACTCTTGCAGATGGGCTATAAGAACTTGTTTCTTGTTACGAACATCGAAAAGTTTTATAGAGTGATCGGACGAAGCTGTTGCTAGAGTTGTACCGTAATAATCCAATTGAGCATCATGCTAAGAATTCGATAATAAGTAAGATAAGATGCTTACAATCATATCTTCATGACTGGTATCGATAGTCTGAATCCCAGATACCTGAATGGACAGGAACATAATAATGAAAATAATAAGTTAATGCAAAATGAATATTATTTTACGTTGGAATTGGACAGTTCATATCCAATGTTGAATAAAGTACGTGTATATATATGGAAAGACTGAAATGCACACAGCAAATAAAGTTGCTCCTATCATCATTGTTTTAACGAGACTCTAAATCACATCGCACGTCTGCATATTCATAACAAAGTTTCAACAATGAGTTGATAAAAACTGTTAACAACGTATTAAAAGGAAGAAATCTTAACGAAAACACGCTCTCCAGCTCTATTTTTTAATATTACTTTGCGAATTCTATGCCGCATTTCTTCAATAAAATGAACAAGCTGATATAAAAGCCAGTATCACACATGATGATTTTTACTGTGTTGGGCTAGATCATGCGGAAGACTTTGGGGAGCGATAAGACAGGAATACCCTGGGCTGACAAGACTCTAGAAGATCTGGACTTCGCGGACGACAGTTTGGCTGATTGTTTCAATAAGCTCAGTGTTATGCCTCTGCGTTGATCACAATAAAAAAATTTGATTGTCTACAAAACCTCTCTTAGTAGCAATTATCTCGTTTGCCCTAATAACCTGTGATGTGCGATAGTTTTAACTTTTTATACAGTGAAGTACTACTTGTAACGAAGCTAGGGTTTTCGAAAGTAGTGGAAATTCGGGGATGTTTCCATCAACCGACAACTTATGCTTCAAATGAGAGAAAGAATTTCTCCTTAGTGGCGAGTAGGTTTATGGAAAGTTGAAGTCCAAGCATACCTTCACCAGGACAAAAATAAAATGAAATAAAAACTGCTATATTGTGTAGCACCGGCGGACAATATTGGTTGTTATCCCTTCTAATAACAACCGTCTGCGAACGTGAGTTCTGATGAAGTGGTTCGACTAGCATGACAATTTCCTTCACGTCCAAACGCTGCTACAACACTACTCGGTAGATGGAGTCAAGTGACCGAGTTTCAACGTAGAGGTGTGTATAGAAGTGCAGCAGTTCACGTTACTACAATTCATATAGCACACAGAGGTAGAGGTACATGGAAAAATTCAAAAGAACAATAATAGGCAGAGATGTACGGAAGAAAGAATAATTACATGGAGCTTGCCAGAATCAGTTTTCTTGTATCTGTCAACGCGAATGAAGCAGTATATGTTTACTGGTACTAACTAACCTTCGATCTTAGGTTATCAACAGCTCTTACCTTTGTTTCAACAACTGACTGGATATCACGCTAGCCTTCATCACGGTGCGTCTTGCTATTAGTGTCAGATACGTGTTTAGTTACTTCTTCAAACAGAGACTGTTCTCATCAAACTGGGCATATACGTGCAAAGATCAGAGAGTGGTCTGATTCTGCCTAAGTGTTCCAGAAGAAGTGGCAGTCTCCCGGCGACTCTCTCCAACTAAAGCTTAAATCTACGTGATCTGCTTGAGTCCATAGTTGATTTGATGATGGAGGTAGTCAGGTTAGAGTTAGTACTGATTAGGAACATATGATTATATGAACAGCAATGGGGAAGTCTACCACCACTTTTGGGTCCGTCGGCATGGAACTCTATAGGTGCCGCCAAAATACTTTCCAAAATAGCGCAGCTTCTCTACTTGAACACTGGAACCACCTAGTAAAATGACACTTAAGGTTATCTACCTCATTCTGACTAGTCTAAATTCTACATTACATATAGCTGAAGCCGTCGGAATCCACCTGAAGCCAAACTGATGTGCTCAAGAGAATTTCTTACAGATGCTCTCCTTATCCTGGCCACCATTACTTAATTGTAAAAATATGATAATTCCTTCTTTTTCCTATGCAATTTAGTAAAGTATTTGGCTCACAGAACTCATGTAGTCTGCTCTAATGACTGTCTTAATGAAGAACTAATAACTATTAGAGAATTACTGAGAATAAATGATATCCAGAAGAGTTTATCGATAAAAAATGTTTAAGGCTAAAATAAGCTAGTATGTTAGCAACTTCAAAGAAGCCCTTGATCTCGATGATAACATCTGTGAAATAATACACTACTTAAAGAACGCAGTAAAAATAATATTCAATGCAGCAGAAGTTCACTCTCTCTTCACAAACACTCCAATTTTACTTTCAGGAATTAAGGATAAACTGCCTAGTTTCGACTATGGTGTGTGTATTTGACCGCTACTAAAGGGTCAGCTACAGTGGGCGTGGAATAATGCATGTTCACCATCGGATCCCAGAAAATTATCCTCCTACGCTAAGCAAATTACAAACGAAGGTTTATTCGTAGGTCTGTTTTAGATTAACTTGTAGATACCAAACATAAACTCGATGTTAGCAAGGCATTTAAAATTATCTACCGTATTCCGACTAATCCTAATTTTGCCTTCACAGTTCGTCTTTTACAAATAGCTGAAGGCCTCAAAATCCACCGGAAGCTGAAATTACGTGTTCGAAAGAAATAAGTACAGACACTTTCTTTACCTTGGGCATTTTTACTTAGTTGTACACATCTGACAAGTTTCCTTTTCCTATAAGCCATTTATAAGCTATTATTGCTTTAACTACCGATAACTGTCGCACAAATTTTCTTCATAATTTTACCTGATATTCAATTTAGTATTATATTTTTATGCACACATTGACTCGTACATGCTTTTGAACTGTAATTCTATTGGTACTAACAAGACGATATTATTTATATAAACACCAATGTTGTCAATAACATATGCTCCTAAATATCATGAAGTTATCGGGAAGAATATTCTTTAATCAGTTTTCTTGTCCTTTGAATAGTAATTTTGTTTGTATTGAAATGACTGTATTTGACTGTTTTACTTTAAAAAACAAACTAAATAGACCTTGTCTTAAAAATGATTTATATTCTAGAAAACGTTCAAAGTTAAACCACATGAATGATCTCCGAAAATCTATATCATGCATGTGAGAAGTATGAGGACAAATCGAGGTCGATGGTAAGGAACTAAAACAGGAGTAAGGTTTATTTTCAGGTCAAATTCCTGTATATCAACAGGCAAACAGAATTTATAAGTAGTCCACTGGTGGATATGTGCTAGCTTTGTATACGTGAGGACACCGATCACTATATCTAGAGAAATATTTCCGAATTAACAAGATCTTTAGTAAGTCAGCATACCATGTACATATTTTGTATATAAAAACTTCTGTTCTGCAAAGAGCTGGGTGTTCATTATTTCTCAAACATAAGTTTTCGCATAACAAAAGGCTAAACAAATACTATACGCGCACTTTAAAATTATGTATGCCTTTCAAGGAACATGCTCCTGATGAATGAAATAAACCCATCATCACCGAAACCACCTAAATTCGAGTGAGCTTCTGAGATCTTTTATTTTAGCAGCAAACTTAAGTTTCTTAATTAGTGTCCTCGGAATTTACGTCAGTACGCCCCACAAATTCACGGCAAAATGAATCATAAAAAGAAAATTCGTCGATGGTACAACTTTGAAAATTATTCGCATACATTTTTGCATTTAAACAGCCTGAAATTAAGCTCAAAGGATACCATCACTAATGTACAAACGTGTATCACAAAAGATAAAACTGGAAAAACACTCGGTGACTCTCAACTATAGCAGCCCAGAACGAAAATACCTAATGAACGAATTGATGACCTTGACAAATATATTTACAAACATTAGTTTAACCTGACTATAAGGACTTCTGTGAGAAACTAGGAGGTTTTTTGGGACATAAACAAGAATATTATCCTATGTAGCACTCAATTTGCACTTGAATGCCAGGGTCAAACACCTCTACCAATAATAAAACCCCTCACCATTTTGGAATGACAAAACACGTCACAAAGTAGCGCAAGTTCTGAAACAACCGCTGCTTGTAACACTAAAGTGCACCAATATCCAACATCCTTTTGACGAGCTGATATAAGCCTAATGATCTCTTCGTCCTCACTTCTTGTTTTCTCGGAACGGTCTAAAATATTTAGTGGAATCCAGCAGAATATACTCTCTAGACTACTACTACTTGGCTGAGCGCAGTAAGTGGATTAAATATAGTATATTTGAAAGGAATGTATGACTTGTATGAAGACGACGACATTCTTGGTAGTTGCGAACTCATGTTGCGAAATAGCCCTGTAGTTATCTACACAAGCACCATGGAAAACTGTAACAGATGGGTGGAGCGAAAATGTGGGGGGGGGGGTAGACTAGGACACAAGCTATTCTGTCTGCGTCGGACAGGTCAATTCCACAGTAGCGGTAAAAGAACCTTTGTTCTTTTGTTTTGAGGTTGGGCTTTGTCCGACATTTATTAATGTTGGAGTTCAGTAAATCTTCCCCGGCCATTTTCTTCAGTTTGATCAGGTCTTCCTAAACTTGACTAAATCTTCCATGATTCTGACGGCTTTAGATCATTGGCGCATATAATGTAATGCAGAACTCATATTGTTGTGGAGACCGTTAATGTAAACCAATTTATAATGAATTTAGCAGGCGCTGGTGTAAGCTAACCACTTTCTTAATGTCATGGAATGAATACCGAACCCCTATAAATTTTTCCATAGTCAGTATTCTTGCTTGTCTGTGTAGATATCAAGAAAATCAGAATATTGGTTGGGCGTTAAGGTTAGCATTTTTCTAGGGTCACAAATGTGAGGATTCAACCACCCTCATAAGCTGTTTCGCCAGTACACGTAAGACGCTCTCATCCTGACTTGTACATAACTGCAACACTTTTCGTATTTTCGTGTGATAATCTAGCATCTGTTTCAAGTCACTAACTGATGATAGGGTTGAAATGGCCACAGAATATGCATATCATGAACATTAAGTAATTAGACATGTGTACGCATTAGGATTGACGCCATCTAAAAGACTGTGAATTGTGGGTGAATATCAAGAACCAGATGTTAGACTATGTGTTGCAACCTATATGAGGTCAGCGGTAATTCACCTAGAATTAGCGTTCACCTATTATGCAGCTTGACGAGGGGTTGGGATGTCGCTCCGAAAAGTTTGCTGCCTTGAAAATTAGTTAGGACTGGGAATAGGTCGCCTCCAGTAGTAAACTGGTATTCGAGATAGGCATCCATAATCCTCAATCTGTCTGAACTCAAAAACATGAACCACTGTTTCACCAGATAGTCCTCGATGGGGCACTGCTCCTAGCTACTAGGAAGGACGGTCAGTGCATGTAAATCATTGTTATATTCATGGGATTCCGGAAGGTTTACGAATTGATCTGAGTGAACATGGTCATAACGAGCATCTGAATCTGGAAACTTACCAAGGAGGCTTTTGTAGGTATTGCTACTTTGCACTTTTGGGACGCTTTGCACTTTCGAGGTCAATTCCATGCTTCCTCATAATCACCCTGTCAGCAAAACTGACTACTAATTAACATGATGGCAGTTGGCATACCTTAGTGAGATAAGTCGTGAAACGCATTAAAGACATTGCATCGGCAACTTTGTGGAAGCAGAATGTAGGAATAACGTGGAGAGGAATAGTCCCCTTACCTATGTCTAATGGTCCCTGTTGCGACTGTGGAGTTATTGTTGACAATTCGTGTTAAAATAGGTATGTGGTATCAATTTTGGTGGCGGATGAGATTCACGCAAAGGTATATACGACAGTGTTATTAGCCTAAGATATGTGTCGGATATCTGGGGTAAACTGTGGTCTACTTTACAGTTCTCTACTTTTGATTATCTGTCCAAGTTTGCGTTCAAAGAGTATGTTATTTGTTGATGATCTACGAAAACGATGAATTCATGACCGTCCATGGAATGATGAAAGTGACGAGAAGAGAAGTACATAAACAGAAGGACTCTGTGAAAAGTACTGCAGTTTTTTTGGGGGTTCGCAGCTGTCATCCTTCGCCAGACTGCATCGACTAGAGTATCGAATACTCCAAATTAGATTCTTTGAGGTGACATTTAGTCCATCCACGACGGCTTCTTTAGTCTCAGGGGGTGTGCCGAGATTTACGCATCCAGTCTCTTTTGAAGATGTTCTGTCAACCGTTACATTATTTTGGCACAGCTGAGAATAAATAAACGGTAGTGACTTACTAGGCCATAATGTGTGCCGATGTTTCATGGCTTTCGTTCCACGAAAGTTCAAATGGCCTCCACTTTATTGAATAGTAGGATGTTTACTCCACAGTCAATGGTGTGTCAAGGAAATTAGACGGATTCTACTGCTATTTGACAATGTTGATTGTTTATCCCAACCTCATGTTACTGCAGTCCGTTTAAGACCAAGTTTAAATGTTTTAGGTGGGTCTCCTTGCCTGGAAATAAGATGAGGCAGTCGTCCAGTTAGGTGTGTACAAAATTCACAGCGCGAAATACTTCGTAAACAAAGCGCTTCGTTCCTCAGACTGAAGGCATGCGTAGGAACTCAAACAGTGCAAAAGTCACAATAGCAGTTGCTTTTGGAAGGTTTTCTCGTTTCATCAGAAATGTATTGGATGTCAAAACGTAGTCGACATTTGGAAGGAACGTATCGCCATATAACATTGATCATTTGTGCCACTGGAAAGTAGTTTGGAAATGTTTCGGTTTTTAAGCATCGGCAATCACTAGTGGGGCCATATCGTCACTATCCCACTTTGCAACTATTTGGAATGAGGACTACCGTTGATGATCTGACTGCCAAATAATACCGAGACTTAGCATGCCGTTTAATTCATCCTTACTCCATGTTAGATCATCCAGAGCTAGATACCGTGGTTTGGGGGACACACATCATCCTTCGGTCGATAGGTAACTCACACAATTGCTGGCTAGGCTGGAGACAAATCGGTGGCATCGTTTCAACTGCTTGCGATACGGAAAAGGATGTCAAAGATAACCAGGGTGAAGAATGAAAGACAGGAGTTAATTAATCTGAAATCAAGGAAGAAGATCTAAATTTTCAGCACTACTATCAAGTCGGGGCTTGTTACAGACTCAGAGACTTAGGGTTAATATCACCAAAATCATTTCTTAATAACTGCAGGCTTTTACCAGTACCTGCCTTGCCTCTCTCAAAAGTGAAGGCCAGATAGCCCGCTGGAAAGGAAAAATGACAAGAAACTCTTGCAGTGAATCAGCAAAGAACCTATTTCTAGCCCGATGAATATGCAGGAGAAAACGCAGATGGATTAGATACATTATGAAGTATACCCAGGTGACATTTTAGAAACCAACTTGTCTATCAAAATAACTGTCCTGATTGCCAACCGACGGTTGATAATGTTGTGGAAGACTGGTGATGTTTTCAAAACTTTATTTTCGGAAGCACGGCGGAAGGAAAGTGGTGCGGAAAAAGCCTTTTCAAACATGCGAAAGGGACTCATCATTCAATAGATAAAGGAAGCCTAATAAATTATAAGGCAGAAATAATTCCCACTTGGTTACTCGTTCCATCCTCCTGAATTCCTCAGTTACTTACCACGTTTGATTAGCCATACCGTACCGTGGAGAACCCATGACATCACATTCCTGTAGAGTCCTCGAATATTGAGCTACGAACTAGGTGTCCAAGGTCAACATGGAGAAATCCACACGGAGAAGAAATGTCCGCTCGTGGGCAGTCCTAAAGTCAGCTACAAATGATAACACATCACAGAACACAACATAGAAATGCTGCGAAAACCATATTTTCCACTGAGAACCTTAAGGAAGAATAGTAATAAAAATAAAGTAAATAAAGCGAAAAGCAACAAGTTGGCAGAAGATGCATCAAAGACAGGACTTCAGGTGAACAAAGAGAAAACAGAGGTGATGAGGATTCCTGGCCAACACCACCAACAGCAACAACAACAACTGACAACAATCAGCATAAATGGGAGGAACCTGAAAAAAACCTCTTTTACCTACATGGGAAGCATCGTTTCAACTACAGGCGGATGGAACTGACGAGGATATCAAAGCAAGAATCGGAAAAGCAAGACAAGCTTTCACTACTCTCAAGTCTGTGTTGAGGTCAACAGCACTCACCATCAAAAATAAGATCCGGATTTTCAACTCCAATGTGAAGTCAGTGCTACTATACGGATCAGAGACTTGGCGCGTCATGAAGAGCATCTCAAACAAACTACAGACCTTCATTAACAGTTGTCTTCGCTCAATACTGCTCAAGATCAGATGGCCAGAAAAGATCAGCAACAGGGATATCTGGGAGCGAACCAACCAGGAACCGATTGTGAAACAAATAGGCAGGAAGAAATGGAGATGGATTGGCTGGCCATACTCTGAGGAAACCATCAAGTGACATCACTAGACAAGCCATTGATCGAGTGGAACCCGAAAGGGAAGTGGCGAGTTGGTCGTCAGTGCAAGGGTGACTTGGAGGAGGTCATGTGAAGAGGAGATGAAAACGTGTGGGCAGACTTGGAGCCAGGTGAAGACTCTAGCAGAGAACCGAACGCAATGGAGACGCACGCTGAAGCCCTATGTTCCTCTAGGAATTAAAGGATACAATAATAATAATAAACTTGTATCTAGTAGACGCAGTGAGTAGTAGCACCTTATGAAGCCATTCGAGATGACAATTATTCGGACAAGCTAGTCCTGGAATAGCAGCAGTTATTTCTGTAGAATATTATAGGGCGCTATATTAATTAAGAGGAAACAATACCAACGTTCCACAATTAATCCTCTTTGTGGTAGTTTCGGCACTCATTTGGTAGTGCCAGTTATACTGTCCCATCTCGATTCCCAATACGTGAAAACTTATGGTTTCCTGTCGCACATAAGATAAGCGCGAACGAACAGTGTGGGGTAGTTTCATTCTGAGATCCCTCGTCATTTCGAACAACTCGTTTCTACAACTCTAATGAATAAAACGGGAATATCATAGTATACTGAGCTATCTCTTAATGAAACAGCATAGCGGACGTCATAGAAAGAGACACAAATATTAATGTATGCAATAATGATATTTTAGGGACTGAGAGTGTCGATGTTCACAGGCAGTACGATGTATGCTAACGCAAGATCTAATACCCACAACTTCTATAGTATTCGTTCCGCGTAGACCAAAGGCAAAGCAAAACACCAGAATTGATTGTCCAAATTACGAGTTATATTTCGGGACCAAATCGGAGTGCGAGATGATTGCTTTCACATTCTACACATAAAATACATTTACGCCTTGGAATTATTATATAAACTCTGTTTTCACTGACCCTGCCCTCTGCAGGTTTCGGATGTATATTTTATGGGATGTATCAGGTTCAGTTAGGTGAATCTGTGTAATTTTTCGAAGTTTTACGACGTATGTTATCTATTTGATGCTATATCTGTAGTTCTTTACCGGTTATTTTGTTTTTTTTCGACGAACTCTACCCTTGCCTCAAGTTGCCTCCTTTTAAGCATCTTTATTACTCCAATAGGAGGATTATTATCTGTCAATAGCTGTCGTTTTTGTTCCTAACTGACTTAGTGTTGATTATAGAGAAAATTTGGCGTTTTCATCTCCAGTCGTCTCAATTGAGTGATCGTCCAAACCTACCTTAAACCCTGACTTTCGGAATTTACTTTTTCGTTTGTTTCACCTTAACTATGAGTTCTTCCTTCATTGCTTTTAGCACGGTGTTACCGGTCTCCAAACCCGTTACTTTTTACCAAGGAATTACCTCAGCTTATGATTTTTGCTTGCTAACTTCCAGTATCTGCCTGAAAAACAGTGAATTTCCACTATTTTCAACTATTATTTCTTTTGCATCTCATTCTAACTTTCTGGAATTGTAATTATCAGTTGCAACTCACCAGGCTAAATCTTTTGATACCTATTTTATCCCCATTATTTGTGCATTTCTCTTCCACACCGTTTCGTTTTTGGTACTTTTAGCTATTTTTGCCGAAAAAGTACATGGTACTCAATAGAGGATTTTCCGATCTAGTGACAGTGACACTACCAGTCCTTAATTTTAATTTCTCTTGGTCTATCTATTAAGACCAAGGTAATTTTATCCCGTCATCACCTTTCGCCTTCCCCCACGAGACCCTTTTCCATTTTTCCTCCTAATCTCACCCCTAGTATTTCAGATTTATTCAGTCTTTTTCTTCTTTGTCCAAATATCTCTGCCCTGAACCATCCAAAACAACTAATTGTTGCAATTTCCATATTTCTTCACCTTTTTCCGCCGTTCTTGATATCTATCAACTACTGTCTTCACGCCCTTTTGATTTATAGTCATTTTGACGCTGCATCTCCTTCGTATTGTTTTAGAAAGTGGACTGTCTTTCATATCACGTCCCCCCCTCATTCATTTACGGCTTTCTTTTCTGCTTCAATCCCAAAGTGATTACGTGGAATCTTTTATAATAATACTTTCTTCGTTTGTTTTGTTTATTTTGGTTTGACCATTTGTCAAGCCACGGGTGAGGGCCTATGAACGGTCCGTGGCACAACTAACAGTCCATCGTTGGTTTTCCTACACACTCGATCCTGCGATACCGCATTCTCCAGTCATGTCAGCTATGTCAAGCCAACCCTCATCACAGTCTATGGCCTCTACCATGGTTCAAGCTGACCCTCAAACAACAGCCTCCTGTTTTCTCATCTTCATCTCCCAACTGCCAACAGCTCATCCTTCCCCCATCACATCCAATCCATCATCACCTCGCTCCACGCGGTCCAATCAATTTCTATTCTCAATTGTGTCTCCAAGATTCCTGTATATATACTGTCCTTCAAACTTCGCTTCTTCGAGAGGTTTATCTCAACATCTCTGCCAAATCCAAGCCGCCGAACACAATGAGGTCCTTCTCGGTCGCCTCCTCAACGACCGTCGAACACGACGAAACTGGTCCCAAAATGAAGAACTCAACTTACTGATGTTAGCAGAAGCAGCATTTGACCGATTCAACAGCAAAGCTGAACTGTAGCAACACCTGCACAACCATCTGCCACATCGCTCAGTTGAAGCCATCAAAAACCGTCTGCAAACACTCAAATGGATTACATTTGTTCCATCATCGCGCTCTGCATTAACCATTGGCTCCTATTTGACTCCATCCTCACCTGCATTATCACATGAAAGCTGCGCTATTAGATAAGCACTGTATAGACGTACAAGACTTCAAACCTGGTCCGCTGAAGAAGACACTCGATTCATCTCAACTGCCAGATGTCTCGATTCCCCTTCACTTGCACCTAAACAGTTCTTCGCTCCGGTCGCTGAAACCAATGGCAACCGCACCTCTGATGCAGTTAGTAAGCGTCTATCCAAGCTAAAATGGAGACGTACACTTAACCTATCTCTATTAACAATAGTCGTCACTTCAACTACGTCTTATAGCCAAATTGAGCCAAGTCCCTCGCTCACTGATGTGTTCACCGTCAACAGACCGATCTCTGCTCTTACAAGTCCATGCAGAATAACTTCAACTCCAACTGTCACAATCTCATCGAATTCCTGTACGCCGACTCAGCTGAAGGAACAGCGAACCCTCCAATTTGCCGTCATTAATGATTACGCCGTATTCGATCAATACACCTAATCAATGCAAATACCGCAGTACCACTATGCAATAAGTACTGTCAATAGAACAATTTTATATTCCCCCACTGCTGTGTCAATGATCCGACCACTTCTGGATACTACTGATATCGACGAAGCGGTTCCAACTTATACTATCAAGGTCTTTTCGCCCAAGCGAACTTCATCGCCCACTCCAAACTTTGAAAATGAAGCTCAACGACAAATTATGCCAACTACTCGACTCACTCAAGATGTTTCAAGTCCCCTAGTGAATATGACACTCCATAGAAGCTTCCACATGGACAATATATATCCTAACTTCCTGGCTGCCATCAACGCACAACTGGCAAATTCATCTCAGCGGCTGGACACTGAATCCACTCAACAAATTATCCTGCAAATATATGCGAATGATATTACTCTTGAGGAGACACGTCAACTTCTGGATAAGCAGGCCTAACAGCTGTTCCCTACAAGATGGAAACCATCCAAGCAGCGATACGTCTCCCACCAAACTTAAACAACAAGAAGAGGCGTCGCACTTTATATGCCCGCATGCAAACGCTCTTCCACCGTCCGCCAGAAGATGCTGCGAACACGGTACTTGATGGCAGATGAAGAGACCCGTTTACATGTCAGCCTTCCACTATAGGAGGTTTCAATGAATTTTGGATAGAAACCTTCACACGCCCAGCTCTACCAGACCGGTCCAAGAATACCTCCCAAATAATAACGACCTGATCGCCCCAGTTTCAACTGAAGAGATCAAATGGGCACTAAAAGAAATGGTCAAATCCGCTGCCGGTGTCAACCGCATAACCACTAGGGACCTCCAGAAAACCAACCGCACTAGTCTGGCTGGGTATCTAAACACTTTTGCTGACATCTTTTCTACCTTCACCTCTGTCAGCTTCTAGGGTCACCTTCATTCCCAAGACATCACACCCCGATAACCCTACCGACTTCCGGCCTATCTCCATAAATTCTGTCGTTACGCGCTGTCTGCACAAGATTATCGCCAAGCGTTGGTCCAGATCATTCCAAATGGAAAAGCCACAGTTCGCCTTCCTGCAACTTGATGGTTGCTTCGAAGTGACCAATTTTCTTCGAGCCATCTTGAGAGAAGCGCACTTCAACTACACAAGTTGCGCATTAGCTATTCTCGACATTTCAAAGGCTTTCGACAGCGTCCTACATCAAACAATTTTAAGGGTGGCTGAAAGTTTTGGTGCGCCCCCAATGCTTAGAGAATATCTTACAAACTGCTACTCCAACTCCTACAGTCTATTCCACGAAGTGAAGTGTCATCCAACAGGGGAGGCCAAACAGGGTGACCCTTTGTCACAGCCTCTCTTCATCATGACTATGGATGAGATACTCAATATTCTTGAAGCCCATGATCCCATCTACGTTGGTGGTCATTCTTTGCACTACATAGCACATGCTGATGATCTCATCATCCTAACTCCAAACTCTGCGGCTCTTCAAAACAAACTCAGCTGTATCGCCGCCTCGCTGGAACTTGCGGGATTATCGATCAACGTCAACAAAAGCCTCATAATCAACGTAGTCACTGACAGACAGCGTAAAATCATGACTCTTTCTTCAACTATCTTCAATATCAACTGCCAGTCAATTCCAGCCATCTCGCGAACAGAGAAATTTACCTACCTGGGTGTTCCCTTCAATTACAAAGGCAGGCGCTGCTTTTAGTATTTATTATTGTTGAATAGCTTGTTGTTACAGGACATGTGTCACAAGCCGACACATTCAAGCTCCTACCTTCTTGAAAATGCCACCAAGTTAGTTTATGTAAAAGATCTCTGATTAGTTATCAGAGACTAGTAAAACATGACGACCACCACTATGAAAAAAATTTCTAAGGAATAATAGATAATGCGAAGTACTGGTTGTTTGTTGAACACAAAAGTGATTCATTAAGGTTGACACACCAGTTAAGGCGCATAAACACAAGTTAATTTAGTAGAAGGCAAATGTACACATTCGTATATGAAATGGAACCAAATGACAAAAAGCAGAATTTATACAGCCATATATAAGCTGAAAATAACTCGAGACTGAAAGAGTATTTAGTGAATAGTTTACAATCAAAATAAAGATACAATATCTGAAATAAACAATGCAAAATAGAATAATCTATTTGACAATAAAATAAATAAATAAATATCGCAGTAAAATATCTCAAAGGCATAAAAAGGGTATAACAGATAATCCAGATGCTATCCCAGCAACAAAAAATGCACCAGACCAATTGATATGCTCTGCTAGAAGGGCGAATGGGTAGCCGGCTAAGAGAGCACCAACTGAAACAAGTAGGAAAAAAGGTGGTGAGAAACAAATACTGATATACTTGTAATAGAACAGTGATAATATTAATTGACTACCAGAAAGTTTAGTTAACAGTAACAGACAGTTTGTTGCTTATAAACATATTAATCAAGAATAATTTCAGTTCTTCTTAGCTCTTCTATAAGGAATTGAGGAGAGTAACGTACTGTTAAACATCCTCAGTGTGATTCCAAAGGGTACACATACTTAGGCATTCAATTCCAGATAGGCGAGTACTTACTTATACTTGAGATTATGAGAAAAAACCGTACTCATTGCATACTAAGCGATTTCATTCATAAAATCTCGTAGCAGCTCATCAATAGGAGGTGAAATGACAGGATAATATACTCGATCCGGATTCCTTTAATGAGTGGTTGCGAACTAAACCCATAGTGCTTCAAACACACGACAGTACATGACTAACCACTCGGATCCGATTCTCATACTCAGAAGATATGGAAGACAGGCTAAAAGGCAAGATTTATCCCTCCTGTAAACAGGCAGATGATCAGAAAAAACAGCTATTTATATAATTACTTTAAATGACCAATAAATTACGACTTTAATATATAAGAACGGCAAAATTAAACTTTAAGCACCAGTAAGTGCCAACGGACAAATGACCTTGAATGCACCAACCACACGATGAGGGCGATCTTAGCGTATAAATGCATATATTCATGAAAATAATGATTAAAAAAGCATGAAACTGTTACACAGGGTACTCTCTCTCACACGCGTGACAAAAACACCCCTCAGTTTTGGATCGGAGTATCAACATGTAATTATATAGGTCTTCTAACCCTAATCTTTCCTTAACCTAACACTAATGTGGAAATATCCCTAAAGTAACCCTATTCTAACTCGAACTGTGGTGAGAGCTGGCTGCTAGCCAAAGTTGGTAGACAGTAATTGACGTCAATGTTTATGTCCCCAATATTGGTGGTGAGAAAATGAGAACAAAGGCTTTGCGTAGGCGGATACAGTTAGCATATAGATGATCTGACACAGCCACAAAGAGATGCAGAACCGACTCTAATATCGCCCTAATTAGGTTAACCTAACTCTAACCTGTCCTTAGCCTCAACCTTAACTTAATCTTTCCCATACCTAACCTGAAACTCGCCAGATGTCCTGTTTAATAGTAAAATACTTCATTAAGCATATTTCATTCATTTAATTGAATTTCAGGTTTTCCCGTCGACTGATTGGACCGAAGTGCTCGGTCTCAGGTTGACATGTCGGCTTCTTGTGCAGATGCTTCGACGATGTCTGGGCATGTAACTGAAGTAATGTGTGTATACTATCAATCGAATATTTCATTCATGATTAAAATATTATTTACCAGTTTTCACTAACTTCCTCAGTCAGCGTTCCAAGGTCATTGGTGCGTCGCACTCAATTGGTATTTGCTGGTGCTTAAAGTTTAACTTGGCCACAAGAACTATATTTTATCAGGTCAACAACATAGGAATAAAAATTCAATAACATGGCTATTTACCTATAATTAAGACCGAATGTTTGGTTCACAGCTTACATAGAAAAGACTTAGTGACAAGATGTTTCGTTTCTGTCGTAACAGTAGAATATTTAAATACAGTGATGGATGATACGGGTTTAAATTTCTGAAGAGGAATAGTTTTCCTTGAAGAGTATGAAGAGATCAATAAGTACGCCGAATTAGACATAAGGCCTTACGACAATCGCAGCCAACTACTCAAAACTGAACATTCTAACTTTATACGAATTAGACTAATTTAACGCACTTCAGCTATTCAAGGGTAAGATATAATAATACTGAAAAATTATTTGTAATAAATTCCTCAAAAAAAGAATGATTTTCTAATACTGAACGATTAAATACAAAGGATAGATCCAAAAAAAGTAAGGCTGTTTACACACTGATCCAACCTAGTCTAAGAGTACTTAGTAATTATGCCCTTTAACAACAGAACTAAATCATTTTACTCTCTTATTCAATCATCTATAAACTGGTTTCACAGTTCAAAGAGATCTATACGAAAAAAAAGATGACTTACCATTTGCTGCGAGAGCACTAAGCGCATGTGCAGTACCACTGAGACCAGGCGGAGCAAGTTCAACGGCTAATACACCACATAAAGAAATTGATCCAAGTACAGTAATACCAAGCACTGAACTAACAAGCAAAGGAACAGCCTGAAGTTACAAGTACAAAAGGAAAATTCACAATTATATCCCAGTTGGATATTTCACATCGAAACGTATGTTAATACAATAATTTTACAAACTACACTGTTTAAAAATATCATGTTAGGGAGACTAACGTTCATTGTAACCTTTCTAAAATGTTCCGCTAGATTTTACAGGTTACACTATGTTTAAGCTATGAAAAATGTGGTCACTTAGTGTTCGTCGTCTATCGAAGATAATATTTGGTGAGGAGGAGATGAGAGATTATGGGCAGTCGTGGACCCAGCTGAAGAGGATGGCAGAAAAAAAAAAGTGGAGATGTGTTGCTGAATCCATATGTTCCACTCAGAACTCAAGGGAATAATAATATAATATTATTTAAAACATGATTTCTTCTAAAATGTTATGTCTTTGAATGATAGGCTACACAAACTGTTACGTAACAATTTAACGAAACTGCGGAAAACAGAATTTCGAATCTCTCTTTCTTTTGCAGGTGAAACAGAAAATGGGATCCTATGATCTACAGTTTAAATCTAATTTTAACCAGATGAGATAACCTTCTATACACACCAAATTATATTTGATATTCTTCAAATCTCACAAAATACCTGGTATTTCTAGCTAAATTCTTCGGTATTGGAGCAATTCTGTTACTCAATGTGAACTTTTGTTTTCAGTAGCACAGACATTAATTTACAGACCATATTTGCAACTGTTTTACAAAGAAGTCTGTATTTTCTTGAAACGTTATGATAAATAAAATAATTATGCCTATGAAAATCAAACATCAGATAGCAATAAAACTATCAACAATTTTCATCTGTACCGACAGAAAAGCTAATCTATAAGAAGAAAGTTTATTTTCTTCTGAAAAACTAATTAAATTGTTGATCTTTGCACTTTATATTTAACTATCTGAAAAGTATCAACTGATTTTCCAATAAAGTAAAAAAAATCCAGAATATTCAAAAATACATTACAGAACTTTATATCGTGAAAAATTCTTGGAAAATAAAGTGGTTTCTTGACGATGTTTATCACATCTCATAAAGAAATACTGAAAACCAGAGGGTACTGGACAGTTGTTTCGCCCGAGTTTTGGGACCCTTCAGCAGTACAAATCCACCGGGATTCGAATCCATTCCCATCTGGTTACAAGGTAGGTAGGTAGACCATTCAGATACTGGGGCCCAATCCAGTGGCCCATGAGTTCTCACTTCTATCGATTCGTGGTTTTAGCGCAACTAGCACCGGCCAGTGTGATCGGCGAGTACTTGTTCTCACACCCAACCTGGTGGATCCAGCTGGTCACGATTTCTCACTAGAACTCCAGGCAACTTCGTCTTGTAGCCAGTCACAATTGGGCATCACGAATTAGTGTAAGTTGGAATTCATGGGCCATTGGATCGTGCACCAACAGCTGAATGGCATACGAGCTAGCCTCGTAACCGGAATGTTATGGGTTTAAACCCCAATGGGTGTTTACTGTTGAAGAGCCACAATCGGGACGAAACAACTGTCTCGTACTCCCTGCTGGTTTTCAATGGTTTTCTCTAACTGATATCAATCCGTGATTAGGTCTGAAACTAATCAAATCCCTACAAACTAGTCTTGAAAACATCTCATAGATAAGAAAAACTCAAAACTTGGGTCTGCTATAGGAGAGGGACGCTGATAGTTTTAAAAGAGGTTACACTAACACCTATTCATGTGAAGACTAAACATTGTTAATAAGGTACATAGTAAATGGACTTTATGAACTATATAATTAAAATTTCAAACATTTTTGAATCAAATTCATAATTTGTAAACTAATTTGCTATTTGCCATTTACAAACTTCTAGGTGTAATTTCATCACAATTTCGCTAGGAAGACGAAGTTATTCAAATCACAATATGTGATCTGCCTCACACCATAAATGGCTACCAAGAAAGACAGCATAACTGTATGATGCCATTCACTGTTTGATTGATTATAATGTGAGGACTTGGCTACCAAACACAGCAACTAGTAGTGCTTGCTAGCCAAGTTTGTCAACACTGTACAAAGGTGTTTACAAAGGTTCGAATATTACCACATTCGATAGCTTGTTGGATTCTGCACAGTATTTCTAACGTTCTTCTCACCGTTCTGTTCTTCGATTGCTTTTTCCAGTGTCCAAAACATATTGTTCCTTTTCTGAACTCGTTTACTGATATACTACTTATATCCGAATATAAGTAGCACTCACTACAGTAGTAGTTCTGTTTCAACGGGTTTGGGGTTGCGCTAACCACACGCACAACCTTCCCTCTTTTTTGACTTACTTATTACGGGTTGGTAATCTAGTCAAGGCTCCAGAATTCTATCTCCAGGAATCGAGCATGAACCTTCCACTTGACTGGCAAACATTCTAACGTTGACCCCCACCACCCCTTCAAAAAAACCAGTAAACTAGTGACCCTATAACTTTTCATAATATATGGTGAAAACAAAATGTTTCGACGAAGGAAATACCTGTTGTCTTTCAAAAGTACTACATTTCACTAGTATGAAGTGCAGCTAATTTCAGAAAAAAATTAATATAATCTAACATACCATCTGTTGTTCATTAGGATATATCAGTTGACAAGGCATAACGGCATTTAAATAGACATTAATATAAGAACAAAAACTGGATTTCACACGCCTTACATAGGGCTAGAATTCAAGATTACGACTGATGATATATTGTGCTTAAGATAAATGCGCTGTGCATCGTATTCAAGCAAAAAATATTACAAAATACCTCAGGATATAAATGCGCATACACACAGGAATTTCCAAAAAAAAAATAAACATATTTACCAAAGGAACGTTGTGCTCTGCAATCCAACTTAAACAAAGTAATGCAATACATGTAATCGACATTTGTATGATAATAAACGGCATGCGACGACTTGCCCATAAATTACGCTTCTAAAAGTAGAAACAACAAAAAATTTACAAATCAAATTATAATATCAGGTGTAGGTTTGCAAGGATTCGACCGATTACAGGTTTAATCACTGGCTGACATCATTTAGGGAGCAATTGAAAAACCAGGGAGTACAGGACAAATGTTTCATCCTAGTTTGGGACTCTTCACCAGTAAATGACATTTTTGAAAAATGCAAAATAGATCATAGATATGATGGAGATTTGTAGCTCAGGTGGATGATTTTGATGTAGTTGTGTTCTCTGAGCTGGATAGTTTATTTGCGGAGCTTTCATCGCCTTACTAAGCAGCATCTTCAGAGCATACCTCAAATTGAAGTATGCGCTGAAGATGTTGTTTAGTTAGGCAATGAAAGCTCCACAAATAAACTATCCAGCTCAGAGAACACAACTACATCAAAAGCAAAATAGATCATTTAATGCAATAACTAACAACTTTGACCAGACAAATTTATGCCAGCTCGAAATGGTAGCAGACTAAATATATTATTTAAGGAGTTTTCAATACAGGAATACATGAAATTAAGTGTGTGACAAAAATTCTTTGACAGGTTTCTAGAAAAGTTCTTCATCAATAAATTAAGAGTAAAGTAAAACAAAAAATGAAGATTTCAGTTTAATAAAATATCATCCAAGGAATTTAACATTTAAACATTACAAACTTGACACCTGATACCTAGGCTATTAATACTACTTATTAGTAGTAATGAACTGACAAAAGTAAAGATTAAAAAAAGAATGTCAGTAAGTACACCTAGTTAACACTTCAAATTTCCCATAAAACTTATTATTATTTCTATTCTTATCCTCACACACCTGACAGTGTTTGTCATCACTTTTGCCACATATGATGACGATAAATGGGTTAACGTGATATACTGTAAGAATAGGAGATTTGAAGAAAAAAACAGCTTAAGCTTCAAACGAATGATATTAACTGAATTTTCTCTTCCATTGTTATTGATAAATTAGCAGTCAATCAGATTACAATCACATCTATCAGGTTAATCAATCTGAAACGGAAGAGAAGTTCCTTCAAGCTTTGAATTGAAGCTTCAAAAGCACAGCAAACAGAAAGTATTTTTACTGAACAAATTTGAAATGTTTTGGGAGAGATAATTCATTTACATGTGGGACAGGACTAATCTTCAGATATTAGTTTCATCTCAGACTGACTACCTGAAAAATAAATCAATAAGTATCAATAATACTCAACTAGCTCTTCATATTTTTGCTGTGCTACGACGGGTAAGCTTTCCATAGATATATATATATATATATATATATATATATATATATTGGACACTAGTCAGTAACTAGTGTAATGTGTGTCTAGTCCTATCTTTGGTGCAGACTGAATTCTATCAGTCAAGTTTGCAATGTGGCCACCATTCTAGGTGGCTCACCATCACGATGCATTGTGAATTGTTGGTATTAGATGGTTGGAGGCAATCTGCAGGAAGCCTTGTCTGACCTAGGTTTCGTGCTAGTTGGCACTCACCAGTCAGCAAGGTGTATCTGCAAACTTGAAGGAACTCATGTCTCTTCTGAGATTCAAATTCAGTCTGCACCAAATATAGGAATAAACACATTACACCAGTTACTGACTAGTGTCCAATCAAAAATATTCAATACAGTCCTACAGGAGGTTAATCGCGAGTCCGAATAGCTCTGTGTTAACGTCTCTGACTGCAGCACTGAGTGGCGCGGGTTTGAATCGCAGGTTGGACGTGAGTTCCTTCAAGATTTCAGATACGCCTTGCTGACTGGTGAGTGGCAACTAGAACGAAACCTAGCTCCAAGGCTTCCTGCCGATTGCCTCCAACCATTTAATACCAAGCTTTCTTTGTAAGCCGTGAAATCATTCGTGGTGAATGCATGCACTGGCATGATAACTTGACTGGAGAGTCTTTGATTCGTTTATATTTGGCTTGAATTCCTGAAGATTTGTAAATTATATATATATATATATATATATATATACCATGTATTTTGTTTAATACCGTTTTCGTCGCGGTTAAATCTAACTTTTGTGTCTATCTAAGTGTGGGGGATACTTTCAAGTGTGATCAGTTGGTTATAAGTATTGTGTCTGGAGGCGCTACACCTTCATCGCAGTACTATTTTACAATCTAAAAAAATCTCATGTGTATGCTATATTTGCATATTCATATGATTAATTAAAAAAGACATGAGTTGCACATGCCTGAATGCATTTTCAACAGGTTTTCACAAGATATTCATATGTTAACAAATAAATAAGTAAATCGATCTCTAAAATAAGCAGTAAGGAAAAAAACCACCTGTTATTCTAATATGATGGTCCACAGAAGTGACACTGCTAGCTTGAAAGGAGTAAGAAAGCAGTAAGATGTTGGTCTCAGATGACTAGCACTTTAGTCTTTCCATTTCGAGAGGTTGAGATAATTAACTTTAAAAACTACACTTTGTCCTACCCAAAAACTTTTTGTCTCAGTGGTTAAGCTTTCTAATGAATACACATAACTTGTTAAAAACCAATAGTAAGGACTAAGATCTTTTACTGACCCCAAGAAAAGGTAACTTGGGCTTTCTTATCATATAAAAGCAATTCAATTCCTTTTCTCCACAGTATAGATATTAACTTTCCATGTCGTTGGCTGATAGTAAGTGCCAAATACCACTATAATTTCAACAGAATATCAGTTGCTTGTCATCATCAGGAGCTTTATTCATTATAGCATTTTAGATCCTTACGTTTTCCTGTCAATAACTTTGGAATATTTAGGCCTTTTCCTCCCTACAGCTTAAATGATTTCACTTAACATAATAGGAACCATCATCTTCTAACAACGCATTGAAAGCTGAATGTTGAGGTATATGAATTTTGCAATTTACATCAAATGAGGCAATAAGACTAAGTTTTTCTAACTGTACTAGTTGGCTTTATGGGCGTTTATTATGTTTCTGTAAAGTAGATTGGTATACACTTGATCTATACAGTGGGTTCAGTTGATTGGATTCCTCTTACAAGTGTTTCAGAACCTTCTTAGTCACAGTTTTCTCGGTGATGGTGAGAGGCACAGAGAAAAACACAAAGTTAAGTATACCAAAGTCAAATAATTTAGAGGTTTGTTCCAAAAAATAACAATGAGAAATTGATAAAGATGATTAACGGTAGGCAGCTTAAAAACGATATAAGTAGAACAAACAAAGCGTAGAGCTTCACACGTAAGTTGACTTATGTGATCAAAGATAAGTGCATGTAAAGAAGTTAATTATATAATAAACATGCTTGAGTATAGAAAAAAATGTATGCGATGAAATTATTCAATGCAGCTGAAACAAAGGCATAATTACCGGCACTTGCCACATTTCTTTACCTGAAGGCGGGACTCGATTCTGTTGACGGAGAGGAGCAATGGCAACTTTTGACCATGAATGGAGTTCTGAGAGAGCATATCGCACTAATCAAGGCACTCTACTTGAAATCACACAGCTGTAGAAGAGCTTATAGGGAATTGTCGTATGAAGTGATGACAACCAGCGGTGTCTATAATGGATGCTCAATAACCCCATTTTTGTTTAATTTCATGAAAGATGTACCTATGGAATTGACCCTAACTGAATTTAATGAATTGGGGATTAGCCTGTTACTAGGGGAGTCTTGTGGACCTGAAAAATAAGGATGATACTGTCATCATAGATGAAGACACCGAAAAAATGCAGTCTTCTGAACACTGAGTGGAAATCTTCAAATGTTTGGCATGTAATTCGCTCTTGTCAGTTATAAGATAATGTTGTAAGACTGGACTATACTGACTAATAACTTAAAGATAGGGAGTAAAATGGTTGAGTATGTTAACCACTTCACTTATATGGAAAGTTGCATCACCTCAATGGACTGATTGCTGACAAAATCTCAGTAAGGATACAAAAAGCTCGTGTAATATTTGCCAAATGACTTCTTCTGCGGTGTAGGCATGATATCCGGCTGTCGACCGAAAGGCATATGTACTGCTCAGTAGTTCTCTTCTTCCTCCTTTATGGCTGTGAGACATGAGCATTGAAAGTGGGAGATACAAAAGGTCTGGCTAGTTGTTTTTGATCATAAGTGCCTGCGTTCTATTTCCCGTGTTAGGTGGTTTGATAGGGTGAGTAATATTGAGGCTAGGCGTCCAGTGCTAGGTAAGGAGGGGAAATCAACCGACGAGGTTGTGAAGTTACATCGGTTGAGATGGTTAGGACATGTGTTACGCGTGCTTAGCCATAGCCTTCTTCGATGGGCAATGTTGGCCGACATAGGATTACGTTGGAAAGGAGTTAAGGGTGGTCATATCAGAAGTTGGAGTACGTCCATGAAGTCGTTGACAGTTGGTTTCAACTGACCACTTAGGAAGGTGTAGACTGTCTTGTTGAAGTCCTCAGGATTTTAAGAACCAATGGTCGGAGTCTATTGGTGATATGGCTCAGATGCATTCATTCATTGTGATCTCCCATTTCTACCAAATCTTCAAGTTTTTCCATATTACTGTTCTTCCCTTTCATACATTTCTCCTCATTACAGTTCTTTTGAATTTCTCTTTCCTCTCTTTTCTCTACTCTTGTTCGCCCCATGGAGTATGGCAAATTAGACTGCTGTACTTTTGTGCAAAGTTCTATGTTGAAACTCATTGGGTTATTCAATACAGTAGAGGATGACTGTTTCCAGCGGGTTGACAGGATCACCACAAATTATAATTCACGATAATCTACTTCTTCTGTCACTTAGTATAGTGTTAAGTTCAATGATTTAATTCACATAACCTGTGGTGGTACGTAGTGTTTATGCAATTATTTCTATTCACATAAACTTGGGTGTTTCAACAAATCAAAATATTTTAGACAATCGTAAAATGTATTTTTTTTATAGGATAATTTGCGTTTCCCGTTGACTGATTATTTACGATCAAAATTCTGTCTCTTTTGAAATGTAGGATCCTAGTATAGACAATTCGAGGATG